AAACGTGATGAGTGCGACAATGCTTATATAAGGGGATGTAGATCCTTGCATTAGCCTAAATCGCCCAAGCTGCGTTTGAGAAGAAGAAAGGATCGCGAGCGATTGGCATTGGAACTGCATGCGACCTCGTGGGGGGCACATGACATGATTTGCGGAGGTGCGTGCGTTTGTTGGGGGAGGGGCGTAGGAGATTATGTGCCCGCCGACCGCAGTGCATCCGAGCACGATTAAGAGTCAGAGAAGTGTTTGGACGACGATTAGTGTTACGCAATCGATAAGAATTTTTGGGAGTCTAATGTGGGTGCGATTAGGCCTCATTTGGGCGAAGAATCATGCATCGTGGCCTTGAGCACAGATTGCAATGTGCCGTAGGTAAAAGAAAACGATCCACGCAGAGGAAAGAGATCAATTGAACTTTCTAGAGGATACTGTGATCGATGATGCAAGCGGTAGATAGAGATAGTGTTGTTTCGATGTTGGTCATCCACGTGTCCACATGTGACATGAATTGTCTGGTTTGGATCTAAAAATCTTTAAAGAGTCATTATCTTTTCTTTGTTTTATTTCCGTTATCTGAGAATTAAATCCTCTCAAAGAAAAGAAAAAGTAAATTTTACTTTGGACCACCTTTTTATTATGGATGTTCTGTTTTAGATTACCATTTAACCAATATTTTTAATTGAACCGGGTATCTTACCTTTGCACTACTTTAGACCATTCTCAACCTTTTTTTATTCATTTACATACAACTTGTTGTATGAAAAAAAAATGGTTTGTGAGATTTCATTGATAAGTAAGAGCCGACGTACTGGGTCTGTTTGGCACAGCTCCAGCTTTCAGCCAAACTGTTTCAGCTCCACCTAAAATGGGAGCGGAGTTGGGTGGAGCTCTCTCACAAAATGAACTAGATAGGTAGAGCTGAGTTTAGGCAGCTCCACAACTCTCCTCAGACCCAACTCTGAAGCTAAAATTAGAAGTTGGAACTTTATCAAACATATTCTTAACATCTATTCTATTATATACTAAAAGTCCATTAAACTTTCTACAAACACTCCTAAGCCGCCATGTAGCGTTCCTATAAACGCTCCCAATTCGCCACATGGCACTATCTAATCTCACCGTCGATTTTCACTTAAATTGGTGGACCCGTTATTTTAAATCATTAGATCATTAGATTAGATATATACATAATATCTTTCTCGTATATACAGAAGAAAATGCGTACGTGTGATTAATTCGGAAGAAACGATAAAGCTTAGGAACGATAAACACCTGAATGTTCCATCACAGCAAGCAGACCATCTTTATTGAGTACATCATGCTTGATGGAGTTAATTAAGGATCAGGAGCAGCATGCCCACCAGCTTGGTAAATTACTTGAAACGTTTAAATTAAGCGGCATGAGAAACTTTCTGTTCTTTCTGCTTCATTTCATCCTGATTATCTTATTAATGATTCTTTTAGATGGTTGGAAAACCTTCATGATCATCTTTGCGGTTTACTTAACCTGGATGTTCAATCGTTTGATATTCTAATTTCTGCCCACTTGTATTATGATTTAGGACCCATGGTCTTTCTGTTGCGTCACGGAGTATTTGTTTGGAGAATTTTGTATTATATACTAAAATTCTATTAAACTTGCTACAAACGCTTCTAAGCCGTCACATGACGCTTCTACAAACGCTCTCAAATCGTCACCTGACACTGTCTAATCTCACCATCCATTTTCACTTAAATCAGTGAACCCGTTAGATCATTAGATTAGATTTATATACATCCTCGATTTTCTTTTAAAATTGGTGGACATCATTAGATTAGATATATACCTAACATTTTCCTCATGTATAGAAAAGAAAATACGTATAGTTGGATTGGAAAAAAAATAGTAATATGATTTGGAAGAAACAATAAAGCTTAGGTCTTAGGACCGATAAAAAAGATAAAGCCACGCGTGTAAAAAAAATAAAGCTAAAAAAATATGTACATAGTATCATAAAAAAATCAAAAATATAATTTTCTGCCATATACGATAAAGAAAAAACCTCATACGTACATACAACCATCGGAAAAAAAATCGACGGTCTTTAAAATATAATTTTCTATGATATAGAGATAAAATATATTATTCTACAAATGCACATTGTTAAACTAGATCTATATAATCGGTCTATAAACATTCACATTAATAATGGGTTCACCGATTTAAATAAATATCGATGGTTAGATTTATTTATTTTATTAGGGTGCCACGTGGCGACTTGAGAGTATTTATAGGGTGTCATGTGACGGTTTGGGAGTGTTTGTTGGAGGTTTAATGTATTTTATTTAGTATATAATATATAGATAGATAGATATATAGATGGTACTATGTGCATATGGTTTTTCGCTTTATCTTATACGGTAGAAAATTATATTTTATTTTTTCTTCCGATGATACTTTGTACATATTTTTTTATCTCTTTTTTGGCACGGGCTTTTTTTTTCTTGGGGCAAACACAACGTAAGCTCTTTTTTTTTCCCGAATCATACGTACTAGACATACTTGATTTTTTTCCGATGGTATTCCCACTTTTATACCGGGAAGGTATTGTGTGTGTGTCTATATATATATATATATATATATATATATATATATATATATATATACACCAAATAATGATTAGATTAAAGTAATGGGTCCACCAAATTAAATAAAAATTAATGAATCTAATGGTTTAAAATAACGGGTCCACCAATTAAATGAAAATCGGCGGTGAGATTAGATAGTGCCACGTGGCAGAAAAAAAACCCATACTTACATATAACCATTGGAAGAAAAATCGACGGTCTTTAAAATATAATTTTCTACAATATAGAGATAAAATATATTACTCCACAAATACACAATGTTAAACTAGATCTATATAATCGGTCTATAAACATTCACATTTTAAATTATTTTAAAATTATGTATCTAATTTGTGATCTTTGTTGTATTCCTTTAATTAAATAAATATTATAAAAGTTATATTATGTCATAAATACATCACGACACATCGGGCCGACAAATAATAATTAGTGATATGATGTTTTTTTAAAATAATTTCAAGTTATATTTTGGTGTAAAAAATCCCTTAACAAATATACAACGCTAATTTAAATCTACATATGTAAAAAACATAAAAACAACAAAATTTAGTTGTGTTTTTTTCAACTATCTTTGATTTAATTTTAATTTATTTGAGATTAAGATTCTCAAAGTTTTTTTTGAATTTTCTATAACTACTTGATTGGTATTTGAGAAGTGAGCAGCACATGATACATAGATATAAAAAAATATTTTCATCCAATGATCTTGATATAATAGAACACCTTAATCCATTATGAGATTTATGATTTTATATGTACATTTTATTTTCTTTGCCAAATAGTTTTGACAACAAATGAATAATCAAGTAACATGTGCAACATACTACCAATCATGTTATATTTTTTTATAGTTGAGGAATTCCAACATATGAGACATAATTGATGGATGTATGTGATATATGCCACCGACGTGACTATAAGTGTTCTCTTACAAATTAGTTATATATTGTAAATAAGTTTTGAAAAAAATAAGTACATTATCCAAATGATTAAAGATGTCTCATGTGATTATCAACAATAGGTGTTGAAAAGAAACCAAACACTAAACTATAGATATTTGTTAAAATTTAAATAATAAGATGGTGCTCTGAACATTATCCTGGCGGTATGTCTCTTTAGCTATAATCTTTTATTAACCTCGGTCATTTTTGAAAGAGAATATTTTATCTATATCATAATTATTTAAGAAGTAATAGTTAACACCACAAATAAATGGTGTTTACTCTATACCATAAATATACTCAAAACTTAAAACAAAAACATTATTTTGATCGCATTCATCTTCTCTTTGTCCTTTACTAAAGGGCACCAAGCATGGACAGCAGAGTTTGCTACGCTAACATAAGTATAGCAAGGGCATACATATGGGTCAGTTGAAGCAACCCCAGTGGAGACCACTCTCGCCAATTGTGCTAGGCTTACTATTTATCGATACAATACTCCATGAGGGTGTGGTGTGAATTAGGCATTAAAATAGTGCTCCAGGCTAGTATGGAGAGGCACTACTATATCGATACAAGACCCATGTTTCAAGGAAACACAGAGAAAGTAAGTTTTGCCGCTACAATCGGCTTCACCCAGCAGAGGGACATTTATGTTTCACTTTAACAATGATATCCCATTAATTGGTGCAAGTGGTATTTTTAGGATATCTATATACAAATTGGAAAATAAGTCAGACATGAATACTTAGGTGCAGTGGATATTTTAGTGTATTAATAATGTATTAGACTTATTTTACTGGTATAAATATATGGAGTTTTATCTATTAATAGGTACTTAGTTTCTAAACAATGATAATGAGTTGAAGTCACAACCATGACAAACAGATTTTTTTAATATAGGAGACATCCTTATCATTTATATATAATAAAGTCTACAGTTTGAAGTGACAACCAGAACAAAGTGATTTTTTTTAATATGGGAGACATCCAATGTTTTAAATAGTGGCCTAAGGCATTTAGCGGTTAGCTTACAGCTATAGCCGCAGCTATATCGGGCTAAATGGAGCTATAGCGGCTAAATTGTACATGAGAGCAAATAGCTAGAATCCTTCTCAAACAGCTATAGTGGGAGATTTAAAACCCTAGAGACATCCTTATCATTTTTATATATTAAAGTCTACGGTCTATTTCACAGCGTATAAATGATGCGATATAACTTATATTAACATTGTTTTCATTAAACTATATAAATAAGATGCCCGCGCATCTGCGCGGGCTTCCTTTCTAGATGTTTATTAAATAAGAAAAGAGTTGGGTGGTCCAATCTAAAGTGAAAACACGAGTTGAATGGTGATCAAATAAATCATGGGCAATAAAATGTAGCCAAAAACGATTATTTTTGTTTAAAAAAAAGAAAAAAAAAGGAAATAGTCGTGCGGCGGTGTTTCCCCTTCCTCTCGGCGGCGACGCCGACTCCCCGTGAGTTCGTCCGCCGCCTCCGCCGCCGCCGCCGCCGATCCCCATCCATCCCGCGAGCGAGTAGGGGCGCCGTCGGTTGTCCTGCTGCTTCCGCCGTATCCTGGTGAGCATCCATCCATGGCTATGCACGTCCACTTTCTCAGCTCTCTCTCTCTTTCTCTCTACCCGCGTACCTTTTTCTTCTCGAATTTGCGTTAACCCTAGCTTCTGTTCTAGAAATTTGCCTTAAGTTTGTTCTCAAAATGTTCGGGGTAGTTCAACTGAACCTCCATTTCCCATGTTAGATCCGCCACTGTTTCGTAGTGATCAAAATGACTGAAACCGATGTGCATCCTCGCTTCTTCTTTTGTTTCATTTACATGTGAGTTTTGATCGATTTTGCTCAGACTTCAGGTCCAAATATTTAGTACTGATCAATCCCAATTGATTTTGTCTGCAATGTGCTAGATGATCTCGGAGAAGAGGATTGATTTTGTCTGATCAGGTGTTTAATTCGGCACCAGAGTGGGATCTAGGAACTGGTGGGAAATGGAGAAGCCGTTATAGCTTCGTCCAGGGTCAGTGAAGATAGATTTTGCCTCTTCCTTGTATGCTGCCAAGGCAGATATCGCTGCCACCGCGGCAGCGCTCTCGCATGCGCTTGGGCCGCCCTGCTATCAGCTCCCACTGGCAAAAGTAAATTCATCACTGCCACTATGGCCTCCAGTGACATGCCCTTCAACATTTGCCCAGAAGCGTCGTATGTCATTGCCTAGCCCACCTCCGGCCAAGAAGCTGCAAGTGCAGCAGTCTTCATCCATACTGCCACAAGATTTTCCAAAGTTAGAGGTATTGCCAGTTGAAAAGCCCACAAAGTTGCAGGAGCGGCGGTCACCGCAACATGTATCCCCAGAGCTGAAGCAAGGTTCACCGAAGATGGAGAGGCCATTGTTGCCAAGGCCTGCAACCTTTATTGACGTGTGAGTTCTCCATTTCTTGGAATAGTGAGATGGAATGCTTCGTTGAAGAAATTGAAATTGATAGCTTCATATTTGCGATAGTATGATGCATACCTTTAAAGTTGTATAATTCACTGTTTGCAAATTGTTTGCGCTAATGCATATATGAGTTTCTTGGATTAATTGAGAAAATTAGGAGAGCAGATAATGAATATGTTTCACATGGTACGTAACTGAGTTTACTTTACTAAAGGAGGTAAATTGTCTTCTTTTCTGTCTCTTCAGGATGCTGAGTTCTCAAAAGCCATCTAGCGATATGTGGTCTGAAACAAAAGATGTGACACTGACAAGGAAAACAAACTGCAGCTGCAAGTATTCGAAATGCCTGAAGCTGTAGGTTCCATAATAAATTTCCTCCAATTGCTGCATAAGAATTGTTTTTCCATATAATTTTTTTTCCTATTTGATAAATATAAAACAAGTTGTTACTATTTTTATAGAACTTTGGCGCTGCTTTTATTGCTTTGTAGATTTTTTGTTAGAAATATTATGTCAGTAGACACTCTTCAACCACAAAGTTTAGAATACATGTTCTTGTGTGAAATTAATAACTCTTAGTTGGATTTCATGTTGGTTGAAAGTTGATTTTTGCAAGCTATCTCTTCTTTTCCCTTCCTACCTGTTTCTCTGAACGCTTGTTGCAACCTATTTCTCTGAAGGTTTGTTGCAATTATGAGATGCTGCATTTAACTTTTGCATGCTTCCATCATTGATCAATTTCCTTCCTACCTGTGAAGCCTTTTTTTTTCTTGCGAGGAATTTACACTTGCAAGGTTAATGGCCCTAGGCTTTTTTAGTAATAACTAGAGCCAATGACCTGGTTTCGTTTGTAACCATAATCACACATTCACACATACTAGTCTTTTGGTTTGACTGAATTTGTAGGTATTGTGAGTGCTTTGAAAAAGGCAGATACTGCATTGGTTGCAATTGCACAAACTGTTGCAACAATGTTAATCATGAGAATGCAAGACATGATGCTATCAATGTTGCATTGGAACGGAATCCTGCAGCTTTTATGCCAAAAGTTTCGAATAGCACAGCCCACAACTGTGAGGTAGGGCATGATGTATCTTTTTGCAAGATGGCATGTTTTCTCTATTCAGATTCTAATTCTCTAGTAGCTAGCCTATAAGCATTTTTGGGTTAATTGTTTGCCTGTTTAGTTTGTTCATGAGCAAAAGGTATAATAAAGGACGATTTCACACTAGGTTGTGAACAGTATAAACACCGGCTTTCAGCCAAACCTGGTGGGTACCACCATACCAAAAAAATGTATAATGTGTATCTACCCTCTCCGTTAAGACCCAACCACCCCCCCCCCCAAGAATTATTTTAAAATACCACTAGGCTTGAGGGTTGCCATTTCATATCTCTTAAGTTAACCGTGCATGTCGTCACTTTACAATTTGGAAGTTCAAAATACCTGAGAGCATATGCTACGTTTTTTGCACCAAGAAACTGAAACTGGCACCCTCAAGTTTTGAGACTTCTTTGGTGTCCTAAACTCTCACAGTTAACGATGCCGATATTATTTTCCAGGGACTGAAATTCATACATTGTTATGTCATTAGACAAAGTTTCATGTCTACAAGTCAGTTAGATGTTGTTTCCTTGGATTCTATTTTTGAATATTATTTGAGGTTCAGAGCAACAGCGACACAAAATGCATTGTTTTTGGTCATCTAGAACTTACAGGTCTTTTCCATTGCTAGAAATTAATTTATTGTCATGATATCATTACCACTTTATTTTGTTTTTCTTGTTATTTTTCCTATGATTCAATCACATTGGCTAAGTTTGAGTGCAGTCATATTTTAGCAGTTACCAGTCATTGGGTGCAAAAAGCCCGTAGCAAGATTTAAGGCAAAGTTTCTCATATGAAGAACCAATGAGATGCTCAGCTGCGTACTTGTATAACATATGCTTCCATGATGTGTATGAAACTCATTCTATCTTTCAATTCCAGAGCAAAGCAGCAGAGGGTGATATTGTGGGTAAACATACAAAGGGGTGTAAATGCAAGAGAACAGAGTATCTGAAGAAATACTGTGAATGCTTCAAAGCTAGTGTTTTCTGTTCAGAGAACTGCAGATGTACGGGTTGCAAGAATTTCAAGAGTAATGAAGATAGAATTTCCCAGAAGAACACTGTTCATGCACATAATGTGCAGAATCCTGCTTCAAGTGGGATGGTTGGACAATCTGTGATAATTTTCCATGCAGCAGAAAATGACTCCAGTCTTTCATTGGCTGCATCTGTGAGCGATCATTCCATTAACAACAACACTTCACATGTAATTCTTTTGCAGCATACTTTTCAAATTTGTCACGGGCCCTGCTTTCCTAATAGGGCAATTGCGTATTTGACCCTCTTTTAAAAGCTAACTACCAATTTGACTCTTTTTTTTCAACTTTGCTTATTTGACCTTTTTTTTCAAAATTAAAGATATGGTATGACCCTATTATATTAAGGGCTTCTAACGGTGTTAACTGAAGCACAAAAAGTCCCTTTTGCCCTTACTCATTTGACCTTATTACATGTGGGACCCACCCGTCAGTTCTCTCTTCTCCTCTCCTCCTCTTTTCTCTTCTTCTTCTGACGCCGCCTCCTTCATTCCTCCGCGTCGCTTCTTCCCTCGGCGCCGGCTGCCGTCGCCGCCGCCCCTGCCTCCCTTCTTCGCGCGCCAACCTCCGCCTCCCTCCCCGCTGCGCGCGCAGACGCCGACGCCACCGGCGCCGCCTCCGCAGACGCCGACGCCACCGAGCGCCGCCGCCGCCAGTCCCGGCTCCCCTCCCTCCCTTCGCCGGCGCCGGTCTTCGCCTCCCTCCCTTCGCCGGCGCCGGTCGCCTCCCTCCCCGTGCGCTGATGCAGATGCCGCCGCCGCCGCCACCGCCAGGCCTGGCTCCCCTCCCTCCCTTCGCCGGCGACGGCCTCCGCCTCCCACCCCGCGCACCGATGCAGATGCCGCCGCAGCCGCCTCTGTCGCCAGGCCCGGCTCCCCTCCCTCCCTTCGCCAGCGACGGCCTTCGCCTCCATCCCCGCGCGCCGATGCAGACGCCGCCGCCTCCGCCGCCAGGCCCAGCTCCCCTTCCTCCCCGCGCCGCGCGCCGGCCTCCGCCTCCCTCCCCGCTGCGCGCGTCAAGACAAGCTGGCGCAACACTTTTAGGTATTTTTCTCTCTAAAAAACAATACTTGCGACGAGTTATTCATATTACAGTTGCTACAATATACTCTTCTATGACAATGGAATTCAACCTCTGGCTATATTTTACATGCATTTTTATTTTCCACTGAATGTTGGGAACAAAACAATATGTTGGATCTTCTCAGATGGGAATTGCTTTGTTGCTCCTTTAGAGAATTTAATAAGAGTGTCTACTGGAGTGTAGGGGTGAAGAAATTACCAGTGAAGTACATCTAGATCCAAATTAAGCCATCAATTGACAACTGGCCAACTCTCTTGTGTAGGCATTAAAAGAGCACAAACCAAGTATGATAGAGCAAATATTATTGATGGTTATATTACAATATAGCCATCAGAGATTGAGATTATCTAGCCATGTTTGTATATCTGGTATAACAGAATTTTTCCCTATGCATAACCATGGAAAATTCATGTTTGAACCTTCAAAAGATGAAAATTATATCATTACAGGTCATCGAAATACCCCAGAAAGAAATGATAATGACTTTCATGTAGAAGGCAATATAGCCTTTATTTGTAACCACATATAATATGTTTAATCATTTAGTGTTTTTTATTTTTTGGGGTAAAATCATCTAGTGTTCTTGTCATTATGATCTACTAGATAACCTGTTGAGCATATTGGTGAAATGCCTCCAGTTATCCCCTTGCTATCAACAAGGCTTGGGTGAATAATGCACTCTTCTCTAACCGAGCAAAGGAGCCAGAATAGTCTTGATCTAAGTTGGGAGTTTACACCAGATGGATTTCTTTTCTTGTGGGAAATAAATATCAAACAATAAGTTATTTTTTCTTGTGTGGAATACCTAAGCATTTCTCAATTGGATATTGAAACTATGCTTATATTCTCTCTTTTTTTCAAGAAAAAAATATGTTTATATCTGAAAATATCAAATTTACAATTTCTTCACTGGAACTCCTTATCTTTTTATGGTCTTGGATGTTGACTTGGTGATAAATTGCACGTCCTCAACCCTCATGCCCACATATTTGACATATATCAATGCATATATCATGTTAAGTATGACACATGCGCTTGTTCTTTTTCCTTGTTTCTCTACCAAATTGTTATGGGCTAGGGTTCATAGGGGGTAAACACCGCCGGGAGGATAGCCGGGCGGCGACGGCTGCTAGGGATGAGAGGGAGACTTAGGTTGGGAGAGACTAATTTTGATTCATTGCTTAACTAGAATGACGATACAATCCATCCTTATATAGATGGAGGAAGGACCCAGTCTAATCTTATCCAACCGACTCTATCCTTATCCCTAGGGCCTCGACCTCTCGGCCTACTACCTATGACACTACATCCCTCCTTTCGAGCAGCTCATACGACTTTCTAAATAAAACCTAACATAACTTAAGCCTTTTACATCTCGGCTTGTTACTTTATTGCAAAAAATTGAAAGGGTAAATAAATCAAAGATTATGATGCACCACCATACTATCTCGCTGATAACACATGCAGGTGGACCCCATCCAAAAGCTTTGAGAGAAAGGATAAGTCCACAGCACGTTGCAAGCTTGATTGCATATCTGATCTGTTTTCCAAGGTTAGCCCCACCTGGCCAACACAACAGCCAAGACATGGGCTGCCACACTTGAAGCCCAGTCCACTGGAACAGCCCAAAAGAAAGGTTATGTTGGCCCATTAAAAACAGAGGCGAACATCCTATCCGCAGCTCCTCTCTGCCGCAGCGCAGCCAATCGACGATGACACGGTAAAAACGGCGCTGCTGTGCTTCCTTCTTATCCAAGCCGCGAACACCGCGCGGGCGCCGGCCATCCACCGCACCAACCACCGCCGCCGAAATCAGCTCCGAAGCTGCCGCATCATGATCTCGCGGAAATCGCGCCACCCACAACTGTCGGGGCATGAGGGCATCTCCCGTAAGCTCAGATCGAGCCATGGTTGGCCCACGCAGCAGCTGCGCCAATCCAACAACCTCCAGAGATCGTGCCTCTTGCGGATTGGATCGGAGCGTTGACCGAGGAATCCGCAGCCTTCGCACCTACCTCCGTCTGCATTGAGGGAAGCGATGACGGCGCCGTTGCCAAGACCAACGATGGGAACATGTGCCCGCTGGGGGTGGCAGTCGCTGCAGAGGTCGTCGCCTTGTTGTGGAGGTCGCAGTGGGATGACACGGCATCACAGGAAAAGCTGCTGCTGGCTTCGGTGACGCGTCGTGGCTCACGGTGTGCCATGGCTGCTTTGCCCAGGTGGTTGCCACCGGCTCGGGCTGATGGTGCACCTCCGACGCGGGCACAAGTGACGCACTATCATGTTGTGCCGCCATGCCTACTGCCTCCTGCTCCACCAAGATGACGGCCTTCGGTGGAGAGAGCTGAGGCGAGGCTTTTGCAGACGACGATGCTCTCGTTGTGCGCCCTTCCTTAGTCGCATCCTCCTCCTTGGTCATAATCAGCGGCTCGAGCTGGATGTCAAGCCAGCAGCAATCGTTGTAGATTGCATGACCATGGAGAATGTCCCGAGCATACTCCGCAGCTGCTCGAGATAGGAACGTGGCATAGGCCTCCACATGTGATGGGAATTGAACCACGAAGATCATCTCACCAGCACCATAAGGATCTAACACCTGATGGAGCACTTCTTCGGTCACGGGATAGAGCACCCGAGTCACAATGACACGGATAACTCCTCCATCGGAAGCCATGGCTTTGATACCAAGTTGTTATGGGTTACGGTTCATAGGGGGTAAACACCGCCGGGAGGATAGCCGGGCGGCGACGGCTGCTAGGGATGAGAGGGGGATTTAGGTTGGAGGAGACTAATCTGATTCATTGTTTAATTAGAATGATGATACAATCCATCCTTATATAGATGATGGAGGGAGGACCCAATCTAATCTTATCCAACCGACACTATCCTTATCCCTAGGGCCTCGACCCATCGGCCCACTACCCATGACAATTGACGACAAACTTACATCGATTTTGCTATATCTCACTCGAAAGATTTTTTCTTATCTCTCACTCGATTTTCTCACTCAAATTTACAGTGCATTTTCTTATAAGTTACAGTGTAATTTATAAAACTTACACTGTAACTTTTGTAAGTTGCACTGTAATTTTTGAATCTTCGCATGTAAATTTTAAATTTTGTATTGGATTTGGTCTTTTTCTTGAGGATATGGTAATTTAGTGTCCATTATGGTGTTTCTTAATTGCTTTTTGCTTTTTATTATATCTATCGGATTTTAATCCAAAGATTAAAAATCTGTGTGATACGATCATGAAAATCTTTCGAAAGATATATAGGTACTCCCAACTTACATATGTCATCTATGAACAATGGCTGGCAGTATCACTTTGTGTCGGTAACCTGGCTCTATCTTAACACTGATCTCATATTCTGACTATTAAGGAATAAACAATATTAACTTTTCTTTTTTTTTAATTTTGCATGCAATTCCAGTTGATACAAGTTGAATAATCAGATGGCCACCAGCCCACCACTGCCAAGCACACGCCTTGCTCAGTCGGGCTTAGGGACACCCATGATTGTCATGAACAGAACAAGCATGTTGCAGATCGTAGAAATCCAGCTTATAAGAATCTAGAAAAGATAAAAAAAGAACCAACTTTTGACTTATAGCTTCTTTTTTGCAGTTTCCCTCAAAAACAATTTTTTCCCTAAAAAAAGTTTCTTTTTTGCACCCTGTATCTATATATTCCCATAAAAAGGATAAAAAGTTGGACGAATTTTTTATTTTGGGAAAAATTACAGTTATCACAAGCTCTAAATAGGCCCAAACTTAGATTGAGGCTTTGTAGCGTTGCATGCACCATGCACGACATGCGAACGAGCCCAACATTTTGAGCCTGCTATTTTTTTCATTATCTTGTGGGCTGGACTTTATTGCACACTCACACTCCACATACGCACCGTGAGCAGCTTGGTGAGGCTGAAAGCGCACCTCCTGTACACACGTAAAACGGAGTAACTCATTAGCATATAATTAATTAATTATTTACTAATTTTTTAAAAATGAATTAATATGATTTTTAAAGCAACTTTACAATATAATCTTTTTTTTAAAAAACACACTATTTAACAGTTTGAAAAATGTGCGCACGAAGAACAATGGTAATGAGTTGGGAACTCTCTGAAAGAATTAACACAGCCGCATGTCTATTTGTCCCTTGTCTTCTAGTGGACAGCCCACAATTAATTAACCAATCATCCATTGCCAAATCCGAGTCCCATTGGTTGTTTATATATCATCCCTTGTTTCGCTGGTTAGTAGAAATCACTGCATGTACCAATATATACATGGCTACACCTTGCGTACTGCATACTCACAAGTAAACCTATACTCATCTAAGTGGCAGAACACAAAAAATGTTTTTCCCTTGATCATACATCCCCTTTTAATATCTTAATTAGCGTGCAAATGGACAAATAATGCGAGTGGAAGTAAGAGTTGAGCGTAGTATTGGTGGTTTGATGGTGAGACGCCCCGGGATACATTACTATATTAGGAATTCAATATGGAGAGCCTTGTAACGGATGTGTTCAATCAGGACATTTTATAGCCGGATACAACCATGGTGTATAAGTAAATACGGTTTTCTTCTCTAGGCATCAGCCTAAGCATCCCATTGCACATGGCCTAAGGTGCCATAAATAGTTGGTGTGGAATGATGGACAGACCCAATCAACACTACAAAGCTTATCCACCCCATTCATCTTGTTACTTTTGTATTTGCTAACCGAGGGTGTTATAGGAGGAAGTTGTGGGTGAGATTTGATCTGTTAGGAATAGAATGTATCGAGAACTAGAGTTGACACGACTTGAGAAAGAAGTGCTTGAGTGGTTATGTTTCAAGATGGGAATGGTTAGGTTCTGGATTGACCTAAACCATTCCACATGACCACTCTGGCCCATGGTTTAGTAGGGGGCAACCCTTGATGGTTTTATTAAATAAATGGTTATCCAATGGAGCAAAGGGTTACCCTATTAAACCTATGAGACATCAACCAATTCATACAACAGCCAGTTCATAGATTCATGAAACAAAGGGTTATCCAAGGTGCATAAAAGAATCATTATATATATATATATATATCTACTACTACTTAAAAAATAAGAGGTGCTTCCATCGTCCGTCAAAAAAACCGGGTGAAAAAAAACCGGGCAGAAAAAACCAAGTTTGTCCGATAAAAAAACCGGACGAAAAAAAAAGTCCGATCCAAAAAAAAGTGAAAAAAAAAACCGGGCGAAAAAAACACCCGTCCCTGGCAAAAAAACACCCGATCCCTTAAAAAGGGAAAAAAAAGTCCGAGAGACAAACCGTTTAATGAATAAAAAAAGCGAAAAAAAAAGAGTTCGATTCCCTGGAGAAAAAAAATCTGATTTCCCTGGAAGAGATCCGATCTGTATTGGATTGGAGAAAAGAAAAAAAACACTTCTCTAGGTGCTTCTGTCGTCCGTCAAAAAACGGGAGAAAAAAACCGAGCGAAAAAAAGAAAAGTCCGATAAAAAAACCTGGCGAAAAAAAAACGGGCGGAAAAAAAACAAATATGTCCGACAAAAAAAAAGGAAAAAAAAGGAAAAAATACCGAAACGAATCCGACTACATCGACGCGGTAAAAAGAGTTTAAAAAAATAAAAAGAAAACTGTCCTATTCCAAAGAAAAATGAATTATATGTATCGTGGAGAAAAAAAAAAGTCCGATAAAAAAAACCTGGGCGGAAAAAAACCGGGTGGAAAAAAAACAAATCTGTCCGACAAAAAAGAAAGCAAAAAAAGGAAAAAAATCGAAAAAAAAACGTAAAAAAGGCAAAAAAAAAAAGAAGCGCCCCAAAAAATCATCTGATTCCTATTCCTATCGTACCATAAAATTTAAAAAAAGGGCAGAAAAATGCAAAAAAAAAAGAGGCGCAGCAAAAAAAAAAGTCCTATTTCTATTCAACACGGAAAAAAATTAACCGCCTTGGAAAACCGATTCGATACCCCACCATGACAAAAAAAACAAGTTTCCATCTAAAAAAGGTTCAGCATAACATAAAAAAAATCTGACTATAGAAAAAAAAATCAACACTCCAAATTGGCTGTAAATCAACCGAACAGGAGTTGGTTTAAATCGTACCAAGTCCTATTCAGCACACATCAGGAGATCAAAACCATATATCTCTATCTCTTCTCTACTACTTAAAAAGATATGCTTCCATCGTCCGTCAAAAAAACCGGACGAGCGAGGAAAAAAACTGGGCAAAAAAAAACCGTAACTGTCCGGCGAAAAAAATAATTCGATTCCGTGAAAAAAAGGGCGACAAAAAACCGGCGAAAAAAACCAAATGAAAAAAACCGTAACTGTCCAATAAAAAAGGGCAAAAAAAAAGTCCGATTCTGTGAAAAAGGGCGACAAAAAAACCGCCCCAAAAAAACGGACGAGCGAGAAAAAAAACCGTAAATGTCCGATCCAAAAAAGGGCGAAAAAATAATCCGATTCCATGTCAAAAAAGCGAAAAAAAATCTCTATATCTGTCTCTGTCTCTACTACTTAAAAAATAATAAAAGATGTTTCCTTCGTCTGTAAAAAAAAAAGCTAAAAAAAAAAGGTCCGACTCCTATCCGATTCCCTCTCAGAAACAGAAAAAAAGTCCGACTATAGATCCGATTCTTAATCTATACCGTGATATCTCACATATCTTGGTGAAACAAAATGATGTGCCGGATTAGAGATCTGTTTAATAAAACGGAACCTACAGGTCGAGAGCATTCCATTTTTATATGATTTTAATTTTTGGGTTTGTACTTTTGCTTTTGAGTCCCTATAATTTTTATATTTATATTTGAGTTCCTATAATCTTGCAATAAGGTACTTGAGGCCGTTTTTGTTAAAAATAATAATAAAAGAGAGAACAAAAGCAGAAAGGTGCATAAAAAGAAAAAGGAAAGCTGAAAAAAAAAAAAGAAAAACAACAACAACAAAAGTTCCGTTTCCCCTATGTGGCAAAAAAAAAAGCGTAGATCCGAACGAAAAAAAATCTGATTCCTATAAAAGGCAAAAAAAAAGTGAAAAAAAATACTAGATTCGATTCCGTTAAAAACAGGAAAAAAAGTCAGATTACTATAAAGGCGAAAAAAAACAGAAAAAAAATCTAAAAAATTTTGTCCGATTCCATAAGAAAGTGGCGAAAAAAATGGTTCGTAAAAAAATAAAGCGCTTGTTCGTATAAAATAAAAAATGCACACAGGAAAAAAATAGAAAGGGCAAAATTTCTAATCAATATATATCTCTTCTCTATCTCTAATATAATCTAACTATTTTTTAAAAAAAATGCACGAGAGAATAGAAACGGTTCAAACAAACGCGTGAGAAAAAAGTCAGAAAAAGCGCAAAAAAACACGCTAAAAAGGTTTTCCATCTTCCATAAATAAATAAAAAAACGCGCGAGGAAAATTATTTCCATCATCGGTAACTTTTTTAAAAAATAAAACATGCAAGGAAAAAACTGTCAGAAAAAACGCGCCATTTTAACAAATGGTTTTAAAAAACCGCGCAAGAAAAAAACACCGTCTATTAAAAAAATCGCTCTGAGTCGGATAGGATCCATCGATTTTTTGCCACCTACTACACGGCTTTTATTTCGTCTATATTCTCTTGTTTTTAAAAAAAGCAACAAAAATAACATTTGAAAAAAAACAAGCAAAAAAACACACGAGAAAATAATTGGCAAAAAAAGGCAAAAAACACACGAGAAAAGAAAAGCAAAAAATGGAGAAAAATATGGTTTTCATTGTAAATAAAAAAGCAAAAAGATCATGTTAGAAAAATCTTTTAGAAAGAAATGCGTCATTTCTGAATGGTTTGAGAAAATCGCGGAAGAAAAAAACACCGTTTGTAAAAAAACAAGCCGCTCATTAAAATACAAACATTGTCATTGACATGATTATTTATGAAAAACGTATATTATCATTAGAATTTTTTCACCCGTTGCAACGCACGGGCATTTTTGCTAGTATATATATATATAAGATAAAGATCCCCAAGAACATCGGCTAGCATTGGCTGAACAATCCCAAAAGGAAAAACAATCATAAGAGCAATTGAACTATTGAAGTACATAACAGTTTCAATATTGGCCTATGGATACTGTAGACGGAGCTGGAGGGCCATCGCCGAAGCACCGCCGCCACCATGACGAGGCGAGACGGCCCTGGAGGGCCACTACTGGAGCGCTGCCGCCACTGTGCCAAGGAGGACAAGACGACGCTAGAGGGCCCGCCAATGTGCCATGGGGGATGAGACCGCCCTAGAGGGCCGCCGTCCGAGCGCCGCCGCCACTGTGCCAAGGAGGACATGACGCTGGAGGGCCGCCACCAGCGTGCCGTGGAGGATGAGACGGCCCTAGAGGGCCGTCGTCCGAGTGCCGCCGCCACTGTGCCAAGAAGGACATGACGCTGGAGGGCCGCAAGGAGTCGAGAGGACACGAAGGAGTCGCTTGGATTGATCCGGTGTTTCCCAGGTTTCTAGGATTCAAACCATTTGGCCCATTTAGAGTTTTGAATCAATCCTAAAGGCCCAATGGAGCATATTTGTGCGTAGGTTCAATGGATAAATGGGCCAAACCTAACCATTCCCATCCTGAGTTATGTTAGGCTAGCAAAATTATGGTTAGATCGACACCGGCCGTTGGGATTCTAGGACAGTTTGCACAAGGAATGCTTCATCTCATTCATTTGATCTGCTGGGCTTTGAGTTTTACTCTAGCATGTCATTCCACCCCTACTACATCAAGAGATCATTAACCTTCAATGTAACAAATAGACATGTTCTACAGGTGTTGACGCGAAAAACACACACTGGCCTGGGAGATCTGCTTAGCTCCAGTGCAGATCCAAAGGTTGATGAGATGCGGGCGTGCCAGTCAGTTTGACCCTGCAACTGACAAGATATGCAAACAGTAGATCAAACAGCCGATCAGCTGACAAGCCGATGGAGCAATTCCAGCCGATGCCGATACTAGCGATAGTGATAGGGTTTTGAGCAATCGGCTATATGTCCAATGTAGATAATAATATAAAGGCAATTGGCTGATGATAATAAAATATACCAACAACATAATCCAGTATAAACCAATCAGCTAGCAATGTGATATGATATAATAAGCATTGATCCGAGGGTTAAAGCATGCATCGGCTGGAGGTCCGATGCCATAAAATCCACAGATTAGGTTAAACAGTGAAACCTTTGTTGTCATCGGCTAAATCCAGATAACTTATCGGCTAGCACCCTGATAAAACATTAGCATGAACCTATCGGCTTAACAAGACTTATATTATCAACAACAATCTAGTAGGTCGAACCTAACCGATGTAGCACGAGATTGTATATGATAATCTAATACTCGATGAGCCGATAGATCTGTCTAATGTGATGGATATAACAAATCTATTTATAACATCATTATGATTGTAGAGATATATCGACTAAGACAGAAGATCGGACCTAACCGAGACAGTCCCAACTAAACCGATGCGTCTCTAAACACAATGCAACTAGAGATAGAATTGAGATATCAGGTAGGCAAATATATCAAAGAAACCAGAGCGATCCAAGAGATCGAAGCGATGCAGCCTCAACACCAACATAGCCGATAGATTCACCAAGGCCGGCGGAACGTAGGACTTACCCCTTCGCCGGAGATCGAAAGCCGATGCAGCCCCGCGTCAGGTGCCAAGTTCCGCCGGTTGATAAGTAAAAACCTCAGGAAAGAGGGTGGCGATGCGCCGAGAGTAGTTGTATTGATCGAGATTGATAGATTACATAGACCCCGGGTGTACATATTTATACCCATGGGTAGATACTAGTCCTTGTCGGACAAGAAAGAAACTAAAGATAAAAGGAAAAGATAAAGTCCCTATCGGACACTAAACACATTTTCCTAAAGATAAAAGGAAACTAACAAACTATGCCTAATTAATAGATAAACTACCATGCCACATCCTCCTTGAACTTGGACTCTTCTAGATAAGCTTCCTTTGACTGATCCGATTCCACCAGGAACACGACAGCATGGCGACTTAATGACTACCATTGGCTGTCTCTAGAACTCGGAAGCCGACACTGACTCTCAGCCGATGATGTCTTCGGGCTTTACCAAATTTCACTGTTAACAACAGGACATCATGACTTCACGGTTTTAGCTGTAGAACACTACATGAAG